AAACACACATCACCCAGTAGCTTTGTTATTAAAATGAATAAATTGACAATTTACTAAATAATTAAGGGACCATAGTTAAAAAAATAAATTCTTGAAAGAGAGATCCTATATCGTATGATGTGAAACAATTGATAAACTAAAGATACTAATTTCTAGCCTAAAAAGAGAGACCGGTCAAGTGACTAAAACATAATTCTCGGTTACGAGTTCAATTCTTGTCAATACTCTCTTGGTCAAGCCGATTACATGGAGTTTTCCTGGTATGATTTGTGAGGATAGTGATTGCGAGTTTCCATTGAAAGCAATGAAAATGCAGACATTAGAACACTACATTCATTCATGATGGTTGAAATCGTCAGGACAATCGTCTAAGCCACAAAATATCCTCTCAGTCAAATCCGCCACGTGGTTCTGTCTACTCTGAATGCAACCTGCCATGTAAGACATTCCTCTTGCTTCTCTCCCCCAATAATATGGTGTTGTTAGAAAGCCAATATGCAATTTGGAAAGCCCCCCAACAAACCTCTTAATGGCACATTTACTCCAACCACAAACTCACACATCAAGCATTTACTCCAATGTGCCCTGCCTGACATACATATTACAAATCATTCCCAATATCAGTGGCATGCAACAACGCTCTTGGAAGAACTGTTCCCCCGAGTGAAATTGACCGGGACTCATCTAAAAAGATATTAGGAATCGTTCCTATCATATATGGAATGTCTTCGATCTCAGGTATGAGGTAGAGACAAGTCAGAATGAAGAAGTGCATCAAGTTGGAAAGGTCAGAGAGCTTTGGGAGTGATTCTGATGATGCTGGGGGACCTCCCATCCAAACCATACTTTTCCCCCCTAAGTTCATCACAACAGCAGACAGCTTTGAGAGAAGAGAACAATCATGGTAATCATAATCACTAACAGATATATATAGGAATATAATGACCTTCCATTCTCTTTTATGTTCATTTGCTCCTGTACTTTGATGTTCTCTTCTCAAACAACAATAAAATATGCATTTCTGCAGGTATGCCAATTGTCAGATTCCAACTGATCTCTCCATTCAGGTTCAAGATGTCACTTTTCATGTTCACAAGGTATGCACTATGTTGCTTCTTCATGTGTAATGACTAGATAGCCATACAATATTTCAATCCTAGTATGCCCAATTGTAATGGGTATTATGTATTCCTACCCATAAAAGGCGAAATTCCCTTGTCCCTAGGCCCCCATATCCTGGTCTCACGGGATACTGGATGAGTAAATCATGGTGACTTAGCCGCATATTAGGTGGGAGAACCAGTGCTTGGTGCTCACAAAGAGCCCATCACATTAGATGTTACTCTCATACTGTAATTGCAAGGGTTTGATTATGTGTCTTTGTCCACAATCTATCACAAATAGCATACAAGGGTGATTGTATCTGGTGTAAATCGACACGGTGTAAATCAGCATCTTAGAATTTCCTGTGTCTTTTGCTCACAATCTACCATTCAGAAAATCAGGAACCAAGAGTTGACCGTGCGACATAGAGTGTCTCCATATATAATACTAAGTACAACCCAAATAGCATACAAGGGTGGTTGTATCTTGTGTAAATCGACACGGTACAGATTAGTATCTTAGAATTTTCTTCTATTTTTGTCAATTGGGCATTAGTTTGTTACCATCTCATTCATCCATGCCTTTTTTTAATTTGAAACAGTTTCCACTGGTTTCAAAGTGTGGGTACCTAAGTCGAGTCGAATTTCAGCCTCCAAATCCGAATTCAGGTTACGACCACAAGATCGAAAAGTTCCCAGGTGGAGCAGACACATTCGAGATCATTCTTAAATTCTGCTACGGTCTCCAGATATGCCTGAACCCCAACAACGTAGCTGCTCTAAGATGCGCATCAGAGTTTCTGGAGATGAACGAATCACAGGAAGATGGGAACCTCATCTCCAAGGCAGAGGCTTTCTTCACATTCGTGGCCCTCTCATCCTGGAAAGACACCATCACTGTCCTCAAATCCTGCGAGCTCCTCTCTCCCTGGGCCGAGAATCTGCAGATTGTTCGAAGGTGCTGCGACTCCATTGCCTGGAAGATCTGCCAAGAAAGCTCAACAGATGATGAAACCATGAACCAAGTTGAAGAGAGCTGGTGGTTTGAAGATCTCTCCGTCCTGCGAATCGATCATTTCTCGAGGATCATAGCAGCAGTGAGGGCAAAAGGCATGAAAGGTGAAACCATAGGTTCATGTATCATGTTCTATGGGGAGAAGTGGCTAAGTAGCCTGGAAAACGAGATGGAAGGGAAAGGGAAACATGGGAGAAATGAGTTGCAGTGGAATATCACGATTGGAGTGAGGCAAGAAAGGGGGATTGGACAGAATAATAAGGAGCAGAGAATCATCATAGAGAGCCTTGTGAGTGCTTTGCCTCCCCAGAAAGAAGCAGTTTCTTGCAAGTTCCTTCTGAGGATGTTGAAATTGGCCATTCTTCATTCTGTTTCACCGGCTCTAGTTTCAGAGCTTGAGAAAAGAGTGGGAATGGTCTTGGAAAATGCAAATGTCCATGATCTCTTGATTCCTAGCCATTTTATAACAGACCAAGGAAATCCCATCAAGTAAGTATCTCAATTACAGTATTTTCTTCTGCTTGTTGAGCATATAACCATTAATGTGCAATCCAACTATCAGCTTAAGCTTTTAGTTGAGATGGAGCATATGCTTCAATTTGGTATCAGAGCCAGACTAAAGGTCATGGGTTCGAAGCGACTACGGTTTTAGTTGAGATGGAGCACATGCTTCAATTATGCTCAATCCACTTTTGTGACAGTTTTACCTATTTGGTTCAGTGAGAGTGAAGATCAGACTATGCACAACATAGATGTGGTACAAAGAATCTTGGAGTATTTCTTGATGTATGAACACCAGAGACTGCAACAAGAACAACAGAAAACCTCAACACTCAACATCAGTAAACTTGTGGACAACTACCTAGCAGAAGTTGCAAGGGATCCCAATCTCTCCATAACCAGGTTTCAAGTCCTGGCTGAATTCTTGCCTCGAAATCTGCGAACCTGCGATGATGGCCTCTACAGAGCCATTGACATCTACCTCAAGGTTTCTTACTTCAGCATTTTCATTCTTCTTTCAAGTCATAATATCCACATCTGTTGTTGTTTATGTACGTAGACACATTACCAAACTACGTAAATCTTATTTTTTTTTGTTTTTTTGTATTCTTATTCTTGTCAATCTCAACAAGATTCCACCCTGATGTTTTTCACAGAGCCATCCTTCCCTGTCAGAACACGATAGAAGAAGGCTGTGCAAAGTCATTGAGTGTGAGAAGCTGTCACTTGATGCATGCATGCATGCTGCCCAGAATGATAGATTGCCCCTAAGAATAGTGATCCAGGTAAAGTATATTATGTATCCCATTGTAGGATTTCATGGTAGATTTACAGTTGCAGAAAATGAGAAAAGAGAAGATTTTTAAGATTCTTTTTCTTTTCGAGTGAGGAGGGAAACCTGCAGTTATTATTCCGAATAAACACTGCTGACCTTAGCTGGGAAAGGACTACTGACCAACTCATCAAACCAAAAAGACCGATAGGTCGCTCCTACTGGGAGTCGAACCTTTTGATTACGAAGTCATCACTCTGACCAACTTGGTTGAGGTTGTTCCTGATTTTTTAGATATTTTTTTGGTGCCACTACCCAAGATGTGCATGGGTAAACCCCATCTTTTAACCATAGTCATCAAAGGACCACAAAGAGGTAAACCAGGCTAGGTCACTCATAGCTGACCGGCTCAAACCAAGAAGATCAATAGACTGCTCCCAATGTGAATCGAACTTGTAGCATTGTGGCTACCAAGTCAATAATTTAACCAACTTAGTTGGGGTTGCCCCGTTTTTTTTCAGATTCTGTTTGCAGAGCAAGTGAAGATGAGGGCCATAATGCAGCAGAAAGGTCAAACGAGCAGCGATGATAACTCAGAGAAGGGAGGGAGTAGTTGGTCGTCTACCAAAAAAGAGGTGAAGTGCGTTAAAGAAGAACTGGATAAGCTAAAGGAACAAATGGGAGAGCTGCAGAGGGACTACTCTGAGCTGCAAAAAGAATATGAGAAAGTGAATAAGCACGGTAAGAATTTTGCAATCTGGGCAATTGGGTGGAAGAAGATAAAAAGGGCCACACTTTTTAATGGGAAGTTGGAGGTAGAAGAATCTGATGAAGGACAAAACCGAATCAATCTTGGGCGCAGAGCAAATCCCCGCCGCAGGCAGTCTGTATCCTAATCCTAGTATACATGTTTTTCAGACAAAATACTATTGTAAAGGAATTCAATTTCTGGTGTTTACTCTCAGTAATTTTTTCACTTGTGCCAACAGTGGCCAACTTTACTACTCAATGATTCAGATATGACCAAATGTCGATTCGCACAAGTATCTGTTCACTTTGAACATAATCTTCATACTGTAGCCATGGAGATTCGAATCTTATCTCTTTTTCCAACTATTACATATTAAATCATTGAGCTAAGCTCGTGGCGGCAAATTATACCATTATCAGGGTTTACCTTGCATTGCAGACCCTGGCCCAAAAATAAATTTTGTATCTATAGTTGACACATTCTATACCTGCATTTAATAGTTTCTGTACTTGTAGCTATCATGTTATATGTTAGTAATTATCCATTATCAAGTGAAATTTTATATCTATAGTCGACACATTCTGTATTTATAGTTGATAGTTTTTGTACCTGTAAGTTTGTAACTATCATATTATGTATCAGCAATTATTAAATTATTTATTTACATGTACAGAAATTGTTAAGTGTAAATACAAAATGTGTTAACTAAAAATACAATATGAACTATGGCTAATGGTATAACAATTGCCAGCAGTCAACAATGGCCAATTTTAATTTGGCTTGCAAGAGGCCCAGAAGTCAAAGTCTGCGACTCCGTGATATCTCTCTCAGGCTCTCAGCTTTAAAGGAGAAAAACAAAAACCTTAAAAAAATCAAATGCTATTACTAGTTATAGACCAAAAATTCATCATAATGCAAATTTATGAGCAGTAAATTTGGAAAGAACAGAACACAAAACCTAGATACTCAGAGTTGGATAACATGGATTATGTTACCATATTGGTCGGATTGCTGTTCGCCTGGACTTTGCTCCGATGGCTTTATAACAAAATCACAGCGTCATCACTGCCGCCGGGACCAAATCCGTTACCGATCATCGGAAACCTCCACCAGCTAGGTGCTCAGCCGCACAAATCTCTAGCCAAGCTCGCCGCAACTTATGGCCCCATTATGAGCTTGAAATTTGGTCAAATCACAACCATCGTCGTCACTTCACCCGACGCCGCCAAACAAGTCCTTAAAAATCAGGACTCCGCCTTCGCCTCCCGGCCGGTGCCGGACGCCACTCGCCCTCACGAATTCCACAAATTCTCCGTCATCTGGCTCCCCGTCGGGTCCCGATGGAGAACCTTCCGCAAGATCTTAAACGCCGGCGTCTTCTCGAACAGCCGGCTGGACGGAAACCGGGAATCTAGGGCTAGCAAGGTCCGAGATCTCGTCAATCTCTGCCGGAAAAGTAGCGCGGAGGGGAAAGCGGTGGATATCGGGCAAGCGGCGTTCACAACATCCTTGAACTTGTTGTCCAACACTGTTTTCTCCAAGGACTTGGCGGACCCCAATTCCAACGAAAGACTGGAGATGAGAGATTTGATCTGTGAGGCGATGTCGGAGTCCGGGAAGACTAACCTGGTGGATTTTTTCCCTGTTTTGAGAAAGTTTGATCCTCAGGGCGTGCGGCGGCGCATCACCGTCTGTTTCGCCAAGTTGCTGCAGATTTTTGGCGGTTTGATTGAAGAACGAATGGCGGCTCGCGCACTGGGAACAAACGACAACTGTGATATGTTGGATTATCTTCTCAACATTAGCAATGAAAACCCTGAGATTGATACAAAGCAGATCACTTTCACCATCTTGGTTTGTTCTCTAAGCAATACTACGTTAATTAATTAATTAGGAGTATTTTTTTTATTTTTTTTATGACTAGAAAAACCTCCCGTCACTGATCAAGACTGTGCATAGGGTATTAGGGTAAATCACGTTTTGTGGTTCTAGTGGGTAAAAAAATTATACAATGAGATAAACTAATCTAAATTGTAAACATTTGACAGATTCAAACTAAAAAGACTAATAGACACTTGAAGTTCAACATGAAATTTTGTGGTTAATTACCAAGGCATTAAATTGTGTGCCTATAAACACGGTTTAGTTGATAAGGTTAGAGTTTTACATCAAATATGTTACAGGATCTAATAGGTGCGGGCACTGATACTTCCACGAGCACGGTTGAATGGGCAATGGCGGAGACACTGAAAAATCCGGAGGTTCTGAGTAAAGTACAGACTGAGCTAAAACAGGTCGTCGGAAAAGGGAAACAAGTAGACGAAGCCGACATCGTTAATCTTCCATATTTGCAGTCCATCGTTAAGGAGACTTTAAGAATGCACCCGCCGGTTCCATTCTTAGTTCCCCGTAGAGTTGAGCAGGATTCCGAGGTGTTAGGCTATGTTGTCCCGAAAGGGTCACAAGTTTTGGTTAATGTTTGGGCAATTGGGCGTGATTCGGGTATTTGGAAGGACCCTTTGATGTTCGAGCCAGAGAGGTTTATGGACGCGAAAGTGGATGTAAGGGGTCAAGATTTCGAGCTCATACCATTTGGTGCGGGGAGAAGAGTGTGCCCTGGCATGCCCTTGGCTATGAGAATGGTTCCGGTAATGTTGGGGTCTTTATTGAATTCATTTGATTGGCAGCTTGAAAGTGGGATTGCACCTATGGATTTGGACATGGGGGAAAAGTTTAGTTTCACTCTAGCCAAAGGCCAACCTTTGCGAGCTGTGCCAATTTCTCTCTGATCCACATCAGTGTTATTGATGCACCCACTTGAAAAGTAAGTTGTAATGTTACCAAGATCAACATAGGAAATATGAGGAACAATAATCAATTCCAATATCATAAGATGTACCAAAAAAAAGGTGAAAAATAATTCCCAATACATTTCCAATAATGTAATAACTTGTCTAATTATTCTGGCCATGTTTGGTAAATAGCTGTTAGCTGATTGAGTTAATTAGAAGGTATAACTAGTTGACAACATTAACTTATTGTAGAAAAGTGTTTGCTAAATTAGTTGTTAGCTGATAACTGTTTGGTATAATTTCTTTTCTCAAAAAGTTAATCGAAAAAAGTTTCTTTGAGACTTTTTGAATTTTAGCATTTTGAAGTTACAAAAAGCTAATTAACAAAATATTTATATTGATTTTTTTAACAAAGTCAAACAATTAATAGTGCTCAAATAAATCAAAATTGACTTATAAACTAACTATTTTACCAAACAAGACTAAATCTTTTATGCATGTTTGTATTATATATAATAGTTCAATTTAAGATGATGTTTTGAAATTTTGAGATCAATGACATCAATTATTATTAAAAGAAAAAAAAAAGGTAGTCATCCTTAGTCAAGACCAGAAGAACATATCAATTTGATTGAATTATATGACTTTGATTTAATTATAATTTTTTGAGTTGAATTAATCAATTATTATTTTGTGTATTGTTTGATAGTCTATTTAACCTATATTTAATTTTATATAGTGCGGTACATCCGTTATAAACATTGTAGCATTACTGTTACAAACGTAATCATAGAAACCAGTATAACAATTACAAGTGCTATAATACATATTGTATTCCACTTGCAGCAAAATAATCACAAAACGAGAATTGGGCTAATGGACCAATCAGAGGGCCCAAGCTGACCCAAAAAAATGGGCAAATTATATTATGCACCGCGGTGCATAATCGATTATGCACCGCGCGTCTTTTTTTTAAATGAAAATTAACAGTGTTTATTTTCGCCGTTTCGCACCCTTTTGCAAAAAGTAACTCTGTTATTCAGTGTCATTTTGTATACACTGCAGTTTCAGTTGAACACAACTACAGTTTCATTTCGATATAACTATAGTTTCATTCGATATTTATAGACTCAAATATGTGAAAATGTTATTTAATTTTATTTTATATACACTATAGTTTCATTAAAACACAACTACATGATCATTTTGATATAATTACAGCTTCATTGTACAATATACACTCAAATATGTGAAATGTTATTCAGTTTCAGTTTATATACATTGCAGTTTCATTTCACTATAACTACAGTATCATTTTAATATAACTGCAGTGTCGGTTTGGATATACTATAGTGTCAGTTGGTATTTAATACACCAAACAAACAGACTCTGTTAACTCTAACGGCGGGCCGTTTCTTTACTTAAAGAAACGGCGTCGTTTTTGACCGCGGTGCACATGCACCGCGGTCTATAATATAACGACTGAAAAAATCCAATCAAAATCCGACAAATCACTAACAAAGCAATAGTTATGTTGTGCATCCGTATGCACCATGCATGGTGCATACGGATGCCAAAACGACGTCGTTTTATTAAAAAACGCGTGTCTCCCCTTTAAAAAAAATTCAGGTTCGATTCCCAACAACAAAAATTTAGGTGCATACAGATGCACAGCATAATTTGCCCTAACAAAGTAACAAGCAATTGTAAAGTGATCGTATTTAATGTTAAACAATTATGTATTATTAAGTAACTAAAACAATGATGAAAGTGGAGATTATATTATGAAAATCCAAAGAGTGGTTTTCAAAAGAATAAATTAGGAGAATTTTTTACTGATAGGAGTGTTTTTTTTTTTTCTCCTCCTTTACAAATACTACATTTTTAAGGACTCATTTAATGGAAAATAGGGAAAAAAATGTGTAATTTACATGTACGACGCATTTTCGCGTCCAGCATGGGGCGTACGTGTCATCTAGGCACATATATGTAAGAGAGTAAGTAGCGAATTGAAGCATGTGCTCCATCTCAACTAAAAGCTTAAGCTGATAGTTGGATTCCAACCAACACGTGGATTGGTAAAGGTCTGGCTCTGATACCAAATTGAAGCATGTGCTCCATCTCAACTAAAAGCTTAAGCTGATAGTTAGATACACATTAATGGATATATGCTCACAAGTAGCATTAAAGCAAGGTGTGAAGAAAGTACTACTAACAGCACGTTTGGTTCACGGAATGAATTTTGAGGTAATAGGAATACTATTCCATAAGGAATGGAATAGACAAGGAATAGAATAGGAATTGTATTCTATTGTTTGGTTCGCGAAAGGAATAGACTTTAGGAATTATATTACAGTGTTTGGTTGATTTAAGGAATAGAAATGAAATATGTTTTAAAAGACATAAATACCCTTATAAAAATATGTGATGGTGGCGGTGGTGGTGGCGGTGGTGGGGTGGTAGGTGGTGGTGGTGGGGGCGACGGTGGTGGTGGTGACGGTGACAGTTGTGGCAGTGGTGGTGGGGGCGACGACGGTTGTGGCGGTGGTGTTGCTGGGTGGTGGTTCTAGTGGCGGCGGTGGTGGTGGCGGTGGCGGCGATGGTGGTGGCGGTGGCGGTGATGGTGGTGGCGGCGGCGGCGGCGGCGATGGTGGTGGCGGTGGCGGCGTGGTTGTGGCGGTGGCGGTGATGGTGGCGGTGGCGGTGGCGGTGGCGGTGGTGGTAGTGGTGGCGGTGGCGGTGGCGGTGGCAGTGGTGGGGGTGGCGGCGACGGTTGTGGCGATGGTGGTGGTGGTGGTGGCGGCGGCGGCAGCGGCGGTGATGGTGGTGGTGGCGACGGCGGTGATGGTGGTGGTGGCGGCGGCGGCGATGGTGGTGGTGGCGGCGGCGGCGACGGTGGTGAAATATGATAAATTTATATATAGGATAAAAAAATTAGGTTAAAGAAAGGGGTAAAAAAGAAAATAGATTCTAAAATCTATTCCTGAGCGTTCAGTAATAGGCTAATACCAGGGGGGCCCCCTAGTAATAGCTATTACCTTATTTGAGGTAATAGGCTATTACCAGGAATATTATTCCTGGTAATAGAAATGGTTACCAAACAACGGAATAGGCCTATTACTGGGAATGCTATGCCATTCTCGGCCTATTCCGTGAACCAAACGGGCCATAAAAGAATTGGAAGCGTAAGGTGCTAGGGTTGGATCATAAAGGGATCATGTTCTTGTTTGTTTGTTGGTTTAAGTCCATAAGCTCGGATTATGTGATAGTGGGTCAGAGCTTTTCGCGCTTAAAGTAAAAGTGTACAAATTGCTAAAATTCTCTTGTCATTGTATTTAATGTGATGTTTATAGGAGTCGCGAGGGGCACATCCACGCCTGTCGACATGTCTAACAAGTGGAGCGCATGCACAAGGCAAGATCGGGGGCCTGGTTAATCTCTCCACGTGCTTGGAGATTCCTTACTTTACCAGGCCGACCGCTAAATTGGGTTGAGAGGACTATGCTTAAGTCTCTAAGTACTACAAGTTGGATGCTCGTCTCGATTTGATATGGTCGGGTGGCGCAACGAATACTGGGATCCATCTGCCAGTGACAAGGACATTCAGTCAGGGATTTAGGTCGGGCAAAAAGCACAGCATGGTCAGTCATGCTCGGGTCCGGCTCTATTCGGTATTCCGGTAAGTGGACGCAGTACCGACTTGGTATATGCTACGAGTACGATCGAGGATAATCCCTATCAACATAAAAAAAAAAACACATATTCCACTCACTTTATATCATACACTTAACCATAATCTATTATTCAGGAATCAATTAAGCTGCTTGTACATTATATTTTCGAGAAAAGAGTCAAATACACCCTAAACATTACCTAATAAGTAAATTAGGCCCCTAAACTTTAAAAAAGTTCAATTACACGCTTAAACATGTCATATTCAGGCAATTAGGTCCAATTTACCGGTAACTAACAGGTTACCGGTAAATTATTGAGGTTGACCACCGTTGACCGTCGCTAATTAGTGTTGACCACCACTAAAACTTAAAAAAAAAAAAAAATTACCGAGAAAAAAAGTTTCGGTCGTCTTCGCCCTGGTTGTCTTCTCCAGGCGAAGACGACCTGACTAGTCGTCTTCTCCACTGGAGAGGACGACCAGATCTGGTTGCCTTCACGACGGATGCGCGACCAATGGTCTCTTTCCGCCGGAGTTGGCGACCGGCGACGGTTCGACTGTCGTCGGTCATTGAATTTGCGCCAGAATAAAAAAAGTTCTTAGACCTAATTGCCTCAATGTGACATGTTTAAGGGTGTAATTGAACTTTTTTAAAGTTTAGAGACCTAATTGAATTATCAGATAATGTTTAGGGGTGTATTTGACCCCTTTCTCTTATATCTTCTACACAACGAATTTAAATTAAATAAATATTAAAAAAAGGATCATCGTCCCCGTTGAGAAGGCAACCCATTGAGTTGCCTTCTCACTGGAGAAGGCGACCATGTTTTTTTTTTTTTAAATAATTATTATTTTTTAAAATTTATTAAAATAAAAATTTTAAAAAAATATTTTTAAAAATTCGATAACCGTCACATTAGCATGTTACCAGGCCAACAAGTCATTTTAGATTATTTTATATTTTTCAGAAATTTAATGGTAATTTTTTAAAGTTCGGTAGTCTAATTGTAATTTATTACGTAATTGAATAGTTGCTCATTATGTTGGTATTATTGAACCACAAGGTCCTTAGTTGGTTGCTCATTATCATTATTATAATTATTATACCAACATTTCTCATAACTTGTTATTTAATTTTTTGTTCATTCAATAGGATATGTAACGAGACTATATATGCATTCCGTAGCATAATTTTGCACAGAAATTTATTGTCGGTCGAGATGTGAAAATGCCCTCGCATTAGTCGCAGTTTGCTATATATAGCGCCACCGACAGACCCGGAACCGTCGGTGCCTTAAATTTTGTGACTGAATTGACCTCGACTGCCTCAAATACAGTCTATCTCTGTTCCACATCCATTAACTAACAATCTCCACGCACTGTTAGCCGTGATTGTCACTCGCGCATTCGTATTACTTTGATTTACAAAAATGTTAGTAATATTGAAAATATACTTTTGAGTGGAAATTGTGTTGATACCTTAGCGAACAAATATTTTAGTGAAACTCGTCTCGTGACTTAAAATAATAAAAGATTGTAAAAATGTAAACTAATTTAAAGCATACTGAATCTCTCACATTGTTGTGGTCGTCACTACCTACAAAAATGTTTATAGTTTAAAACATATATTTCTGGTGGAAATAGTCTTATAACTTAGTTGACAAATATTTTAAGTGAAACTCATCTTATAATGAGGATGTTCGATAAATAATTGTTAACTTATTGAGCTAATGTGTTTAATTAGTTAATAGTATTAACTAATTGTAAAAAAAATATTTGGTAAATTAGTTGTTAGCTGATAGCTAATTACATGCAAAATATTTTTTTTTAAAAAATTACTTTGATCAACTTTTTGAATTTTAGCATTTTAGAACAATAAATTGTTACAAAAGTTAACTAATCAAACACTCATGATGATTGTTTAACCAAATCAAACAATTAATAATAGTCAAATAAATTAAAATTAACTGATAAACAAACTATGTTACCAAATAGGACTATATGAACGTACAAAACTATAAATATATGGGAACATTTGTCTAAGACCATTTCACAAGTCGAATCTTTAATTAATAAATCAAATATTTGATATTATTAATCAAAGATCGACTCCGTGAAATGATCTCATACAAATTATATATATATATATATATATATATATATATATTAGTTTAAATTTAAATTAACATAACTGATTGACTAAATTAAAAGAAAATAAAACATTTTCATCAAGAGTTGGAACTTGAAACAAATTAATATTATGGAAATGCAGGGTGTGGTTCGGTTAATAATACTACAACTCTTAATTCTCGAGCTAATTAACAAATAAATAAAATTAGGGCAATCCATTTCATAAGAATAAAGTATTAATATGAGTGGTCGAAACTCCAGTTTCCTTTGCACCCTTTATTAATAGCATTTATAATATAATGATAATAATAATAAATTACAATTTGCTAAAAAGATAATAAACAAAAATATAATAACTTGAGCTTACATTTCTTTATGGCCCTTCAAGTAAAAAGAATATCACAAAAAAAATATATATATATTTAATTCTTTTTGCCCTCCTCGCCACCTTCAACCAAATAAGCTTTCTTCCTCCTTTCAGCCTGAGTTAACAGACAAATGAGGAGAAAACACGCGGCGTAAAGCGCGTGGACCCTCCAGCTGGTCTTGGGCGGTTGGCGCAACACCGCCCTATGGAACACCGCCATGTAGTAATGCAGCCCAACTGCAAAGCCCACGATGGTCTGGGCCAGCCCAATCATCTTCGTGGTCGGCCCAGTTTCGGTGGAGAAGACTAGCACGAGGTACATGAGGAGCATCAGAAGGTACAAGACGTAAGCGAGGGTTTGGAGGAGCTGTATGCAAACGTAGGTGGACTGCGACGTAGCGTAGAAAAACTTGAGCGGCTCGAGCCCGGTGACGAGCGAGGAGAGGCAGAGAATGGAGAAGTAGATGGAGAGGTAAATCTGGACGAAAATGAGGAGTTTTTGGAGGGAGAAATAGGCTTTGAAGCGGTTGAAGATGAGGGAGACGAGGATGAGAGGGATGAAGATGAAGGCGAAGGAGATGAAAGAGGCGACGGTGGGGGCGTACTTGTTGCCCACGATGGGTTTGAAGTTATTGGTGATTTGTTTGTTGGCTCTGTTGAGATAAACTTTCGAGGTTTTCGAGATTCTCTCCAAATCCGGGAAAAGGGTTTCCTGGAATTTCGACGGCATGTCTCTGAACTCGGAAATCAAGTCGTCTTGTTCATCGTCAATCCAGAATGGTTTGGTTCCCCCGGAGCTCTTCTTGGTGGATTGTGATTTGGGTTCTTGGACCTTCTTTTCTACCTGGGATTTGACCTGTTCTTTTGCTTGAGCAGCAGCATTGCTGGTTTTGTTCTTGGAAAAAGAGCTAATCTTGGTTAGATCTGAGGATTTCTTGGTGGTTTTGGTTGAATTTGATGAGGATTTCAATGAAGTAGTAGAATTCAGCTTCTTGAACTGATTCTTAAGGGAAACCTTAGAAGAATCTGAAGTGGGTTTGAGAAGCTTGGTTTTGTTCTTAATGGAGAGTGAAGAAAGAGAAGAAGAAGAAAGCTTGAGTTTTGTCTGGTTCTTGGCTGATCCAAACCCAGACCCAGTCTTGAGAACCTTAGTTTGGTTCTTGGAAGAGGCAGCAGTAGTACTAGGTTTAAGGATCTTGGTTTTGTTCTTGGAAGAAAGTGATTTAGCAGTAGTGGTTTTCTTGATCTTGAAAGCTGCTGCAGGGTGGTGATCTTCATCGTCCTCATCAACCTCCAACATTCTTCTTACAGTACTGAATTCATTGGTGCTATAACAATGGACCTGGGAAAGGAATGAGAGCAGAAGGAGAAGAAGTACTGACAGTAGCTTAAAGAGGGCTCTGCAACTACTGGTTGGAGAAGATGGTGGAGCCATTTGTACAGTTTTTGGTGAAGATCGAAGATGTAAATGAGAGATTTAAAAGGGTGGGGTGGGGGTGAATTAGATCTGATGATATTATTTAGGTGAGAGGGGTGGCAGTGGGCAGTGGCAAAGGAGCATTAAAAGGAGGGAAGATGGATAGCCATTATGGCTGGGTACTGGGGAGTGTGTGAAAGGAAGGGAAAGTCGACTTTAATGTTCTTCTTAATTAAAGCTCTTTTTTTTTTTTTTTTTTTGGTAATCTACGCACAGTAGAACGCGGCGCTGCTACTAATAATTTGCAGTATTTATTATTATAGATCTTGAACAAAAACATTAATATTTTTTTTTAAACAAACCAAAAGCATTAATATTGATTAGATCTTACCCCAAAAGACTGAATCCTCAACTCTAAGGACCCCTACACTCCGACCCGACAGAGCATGTGGGAGGATGTAAATCACGGTGACTCAATGGGCTAGTAGGCAGGGCCAAATGTCCATACACACAAAGAATCTGCCCACTCTAAAATATATTGATTGGATCTAATCTACTTTTTAACCGATCACAAAATATAAAACTACAATGAGGTACATCGCATCAGAAAAATTTAGTGTCATAAGTTTAACCTTTTTGATCAAATAAAAAAATTATATTTTACTCACTCCCTCACACTTTTCAAAATATTGAGAGAAAAAAAAAACAGAATTTTCACGAAAATTACATTTATATAGAGTATTTTTACCAAATATGAAATACAATAAAACACAGTTTTTCCCCTTTTAACTTATTTGAAGTGAAAACCAAAGAAAACATCAGCACATGCAAATATAGTAAATTTAACCTGAACTTTTTAAAACAGATTTAAATATTAATAAAGTAATAACCTGTTTTTTTTTTCTTTTTTTTTTTTTCTTTTTTTTTTTTTTCGCTTTCCTGTTTTGTCACTACAAACTCCAAAAGCAGATACAATAAAACGCGGTGTTGGGAGGCGGAAGCAATACTTTGCAATATTTAATTATTTATTGTTGTAGATTTTAGGCAAAAGGTTTTTCTCGATATTCAATTTATAAAGTGGTGACAAAAAATATGAAACACAAGTAACCCTAATTTCTACGGACTATTTGTTTTAAAAAATTATGATTGTTTTTTTTTTTTTTTTACAAACACATTTATTCAACCAGTCAATTAGCAATCACATATTGAGATTAATTTTATTATACAATAATCAGTGAAGTTTGAAGAAACCCTTGTCATCTCAATATCTCATTCACAATCCATTTATACACTTCAAACATTATAAAGGTGTTTGGTAAATAGTTAGATTGGGTTAGTGGTTTTGAATTTTGATTAGTTGATAGCATTAGCTGATTGTATAAAAGTGTTTGATAAATTAGTTGATAATTGATAACTGATTACATGCAAAATGACTTTCTTAAAAAGATGATTGAAAGAGCTACTTTGACTAACTTTTTAAATTTTAGCATTTTGAGGCACTAAGTTGTTAGAAAAAAATACTTAATCAAACACTTATATTTATTGTTTAACCAAGTCAAATAGCTAATAGTGGTCAAATAAGCCAAAATTAGCTGATAATAAGCTAACTATGTTACCAAACAGGACTATAACTATTTTGCAGTCATGGAAACTTAATTATAATTATATTACTTATAGTATATATATATATATTTAAAATTATATGTCAACTACTATGTAATGTGATGACACATCTGTTATCATTTTAAATGAATAATCATATGATTGAATTTTGGTCTAGAAATATATAGTATATTATAAAAATCATAAGTATTTGTTTAAAAAAACCATTAATAAGGTAGGTATGAGTGTAAAGTACGTGGGATTGAAGGCTTCAAAGTCCCGTGACAAGTGATCCGATGAAGCCGTCGATTTTGGTTGCAAAGTTTAAGGTTGGTAAAAGTACAAGAAAGAATGTGCCGCTTTTAATTTATTTATGTATACTAAATATACTATAACTTGTTAGTCTTCGATCACCTAAATTTCATACGGAGTATTAAGTAATCTCGTTGACTTGATGCATCATTCGACTTGTGACTTATTTTGTAAACGCAAGCCTGTTTTAGTAACTCCAATATTGGTGTTCTTCTCTATTAATTCGTCTAACAGTTTCAATTATTTGTTATATAATATACTATATATGTTGATAATATTTATTATATATGTTCATAAATACTAAATTATATATATATATATATATATATATATATATATATATATATATATATATATATATATATATAGAAGAGTGCTCATATGTGGTCATGTCATTAGGTGTGGTCGTATCTGTGTCGTTAAATCAATTTAATCTAACGACAGTGGTAATTCTGAGGATTTTCGCGCGTTTTGATAAGTGGGGGTGTTATAGTAATTACAGTGGCCATTTATAGCGGGCGGGTTCCAGAATACACCAACATTTTTGACAACATACACCAATAGTGTAATAAAACACACCATAGTGGAACACACCAATGGTGTATTCCCGTGTTATGATAATTACAGTGGCCATTTATAGCGGTCGGGTTCCAGAATACACCAACAGTTTTGACAACATGCACCAATAGTGTAATAAAACACACAACAATGTGATTTTCCCTATTCCTATGTTTTATGACGAGTTTACCCTTGCAGTTTGTTGGGTAGGAGAATGTGCGTGAAAATATTGAAAAAAATCTTGATTAATATGGTTCATTGGATCTATCTAATCTAATGGCCTATAATTGACCATATGACCATACCTAACAACATGACCACATGTGATCACCTCTCTCTCTCTCTCTCTCTCTCTCTATATATATATATATATATATATATATATATATATATATATATATATATATATATATATATATATATATGTTTTCATTCAATATATAATATTCTAATAATATTTCTTATTATATTAAAATATCGCCTTAATATACATAAAATTACGCTACATGTTAACCATATTTTTTTTTTGGTAAAAACGGAGGGTGATACCCAAGAGTCATGAGTGTCTACTGAAAGTTGCTCCTAGTATATCTTGCTTGAGAAGATCATCTATCTCCGAAGGTGCTTCCTTGAGCGTACGACAACCCACTGGATTTGCAAAGGCTGCCTTCGCTAGAAAATCAGCTACCATGTTTCCCTCACGTAACACATGCACGTATTTCACGTGCGGAATACCCTCAGCTTCCCTTATGCACCGCCATATGATGCTGCATACTTTGGTACCTGTCTTTTGACTCCTGTGTATCCTGTCAATGAGCTGCTTAGAGTCACTTTCTACCATGAGCTTCTGTATGCCTTTTTGCCTTGCCAGGCGTAGACCGTGGAACACTCCCCATGCTTCCGCTTCGAGCACATGACACCGCCCGATGTTGGACGAAAAACCTGCACACCAAATTCCGGCTTCATCTCGGATCAGGCCGCCACATCCAGCCGTCCCTTGTCCTTTGCAGCTACCATCAATGTTAAGTTTATGCCATCCTCTATCCGGTTTCTTCCATCCAGCCTGCTCATTGGCCGTCTGCATGGCCCCAGTCCCCGGGTGTAAACGTTTGTTGAAAGCCCCCTTGACTTCCACATCGTACTTTGCGAGCCACTCGAGTTTTTCCTGCATCCTCAGAGAACGGTTATTAAAAATCCCTTCATTTCTCCAACGCCATATCCACCACATCCTCGCCCCAAAACGGGTTTGCCAATCTTCACCAAAACCATATCTTATATTGCCGGCAAGGTTGACTTCTAACCACTGGTCCCAAGGAAGGGCGTTCAGCTTCGCATAGGTGCTTCTGGGGATGACTGCTTCCCAGAGACCCGTCACCGCCGAACAGTCTCGAAATAAGTGTTGCAAGTCCTCAATCTTACCTGCACAAAGGAAACAAAAAGGGTCAGCCGTTAATTTTCGTCTGGCTCTTTCTGCATTCGTCATAACCTTTTTATGGCGTACTAGCCACAGAAACAGATTAACTCGTGCAGGAGCACGAATTCTCCAAATGCGTCTCCACATCTCATCAGTAGGGTAGTCGTGATTATCCACCAGGGTATCATACATGGAACGTATAGTAAATTTACCACTGATCTCTAAGCCCCATCCTGGTTCATCGTCCATATCCAATGTCGTTAAAACTTTCCCCGCTAGTCTTTCCTTGGCCTCATATGTTAAGTCATGCTCTAATAACTCCCACTTCCATCCCCTTGCCTCATCCCAGTAGTCCCGAACCATACCATATAATTCTGGCAGAGGAAGAGGCGTCTTGAGCTGCCCAAACAGTGGTTCCGGGAAAATCCACTTGTCCATCCAGAAGCGTGTTGTAGCACCATTTCGGACCACACATGAGACTCTTTGGGACATGGGTGTCCAAGCTGCTGAGATTCCTCGCCAAGCATTGGAGACGTTCCGCCGCCCTTGTCGCATATTGTGTGAGTCCTCCGACTTTCTATATTTTGCGTTGATTGCCTTTGTCCATAGGCTTCCACTTTCAGTCAGAAGCCGCCAGCCCAGTTTCGCCATAAAAGCCAAATTCAGCTCGTGCATGCGTTTGATACCTAGTCCACCTGCCTCGATTGCTGTCGTCACAAGGTCCCAATTTGCCAAGCTCATATTGTTACATGTTAACCATATTTAGTAAGCATTTATCATTATTATATTTATTATATAATATTTGTCCTATATGACCATAAACTTAGACTTTAATGTACATCAATATTAAACTAAAGGAACATCATATTATTATCTATTTTCATTCATTTTGTAGTAGGTTAATAATGTTCACTCTATATATTTGTAAAAACAAAGGTTAATGTAAATAAATATTACACAGAAGTATTGAATTTATGTACACATAGATTTATGTTTTTAAGTATCAATTATGTATCATTTAAAATATTTCAATTACAAATTTTAATGATATATTTTTATATATTAATTTATTTGTACAAAACATAAATAGAGTCATTAAGTATTTTTTTTTTTTTTTCACTTTTGGTGCATGAATTTTTTTTGCCACATTTAATCTCAATGACCAAAATTTTGATAAAAAATGATAAGAATTTGTCACTTTTCCAACTCAAATCATATCGGCTAAAACACTTTGGCTCTTTTTTGAGGTAAAACGTATGATTTTGAATTTGAAATGTGAAGAATTCTATTGTTTTATAAATAAATTTTCTTTTTGTAAATGTGTGTGTGTGTTTTTTGGGTTCAGTTAGATCTCTAATACAAATTAAAAAAGTGATTGTCGGTCCGGAATAAAATAAAAACATATGTAAAGAAATATATTCCAAGATCTATAATCTGGCAATCATAATATAAATGCTTTATGAGTGAAAGACCAAAGTTGAATTTGTTGACTTTGGTATACGTACCAAGTTCCAATATCAACTTGGAGTACTTTTATTAAAATACAATTTATTATTTATTTACTTATTAATTTCCCTTTGGTCCATGGAGGGTAGATCTACTATGACTTGAGAATGGGAGTCTCCTATCCCATCATGCCATGATATGCTTGAGTAGTTGAGGCTATAGACATTCAATCCTCGTTAGCATCTTTGACAAATATGGTTGCAATCATGGCCGTTACGTAAATTCAGACAACTCGTGAATTATTTAATCATGATTAGATCAAGGTTGTTGACTTTATGTATGCTATCACACTTCAATTCTCTACTTCACTTGTAGTTCTATTACATTTACTTTCTATTTTTACTCAATCACTTTTATTCTCTGATGTAATAATTGATGATTAGTTATTTTAATCCCGTGAGACTCAATAAAAATGTCAACATCAAAATTTTGTGAGGGGAAGTAAAGATTGAGAATATAATGTGAGATTATGAGTAGTATTTCTCATTTGTATTTTCGATTTGAACTCAAGATCGTACAAATTATCTCTTCGATATTTGATATAATTAACATTTTTAAGATTACACTTAAGCTTTATTAAAACCCTTTGGACCCATGATTATAGGGTATATTTTATCATGAACCAATATCTACATTGCATGGTAAACCCAAGTACATACAAATAATACTCAAGTAAATAAAAATTAAGGTATATACAAATAATATTGTAGGTAGAATTAGTTTCGGATTTAGTCATTTGACTATCACTCATTTTCAATTATAGTCATTGATTTTTAAAACTACCAAATTTAGTCATTAGTATTGAATCATCTCCAATTGTAATTCACTGTAAAATTTTTCCTGTATAAACGGTTAATATCGAGGGTGAAATTAGGGATTTAGGGCTATTAGAATAAGGAAATTAGGGATTTTAGTTCCTACGTGTGAGAAACAATTTGCACAATGGTTAAAACTTACAATTTTACCCTCAATGTTAACGATTCGCATAGGAAAAAGTTAACCGGGGATTACAATATAATATTGTAAATAATTCAATATTTAAGAACTAATTAAATTTGGTAGCTTTAAAAGTCTAT